ATATGTAGCTTAGTTAAGTTAGCTATAATGTCATGGTAAACTCATGCCCAAACTGTTCTACCTTGACATAGTATCATATTTTCTTATTTAAGTGATAAAGCCTGAGAAATCAAACTAACTTGTCTATACTTGACTTTTTTTTATGAGACCTAACACTGTCCTATACCTAACCTTGTTGAGATAGGTCTAATGTTGTGATTCAATAGAGACAATTTACTTAAACTACTCACCTCAATTGTATGAGATCTCCTTAGTTGACATACGTGACGATGTATTAGTTGTTTATATATGTATGTTGAGATGTTGATTACGAATATGTTGATAAATGTTGAGCATGTTGTAAGTTGTGAATTGTCCAATTGTTGACCTATGATTTTGTTATTTTAGTTGTATTGTTGTATGTTGTTTCTTTCATAAGCTTACCCTCATGTGTTTCTTTATAGTTGGGATTGTGATGACTATACTTGATATGTGAGTAGACAAGATTAAGCAATTAGTTGGCCAATTGATGGTTGTTTTGTATGACTTTTCCAATGGAGTCATATTTTGGGAGTCCTCAACTGGCTGTATAAAGGACATTTTGTAGTCGTCTAGTGATGATGTATATAGTATATGTAATGGATTTTGTATGTTATGATATTTCATACATTTTACTTTATGCATGTTTTTGCTTCCACTTAACGACTTTCACTCTATCGATATTGACTGATAGCCCTTTTTTTTTTCTCTTTGATGGCTTCACTACCTATCAACATTCAATTTATACCTTAATCCAACTTATATGTAGCCCTTTCCATATCCTAACACTTAATGAAAGCATCAATTATTAAAACTTAAAGACGAACCCAACCCAAAAGACTAGTCCATTAAGTAAGAGAGTCTTAAAGTTTAAGTATTACATTGAGCTTACTAAATGTAGAACTTCTAACAAACTCATAAATTAAATATCTATATAATCGAGTAAAATAATAAAAACAAGATTTTTTTAGAACTATAAAAGCATGAATTATGAAATGCATAAATGCATTTTAATGACTATTATTTATTAGTCATTAATAATTTTATTAGATAATAAAATAAAAATAATTATTATATTGTCATTAAATAATTGTTGTTAATATATAGTAAATTTTAGTATAGTAATAATAAATTGATAAAAAAATAATTCTTTATTAATTATATTTTCATTACAATAGAATATTTATTTGCACAGTTTTTCTATATTTCATTATTTCACATAATTGTTTTTAATTGATTCTCACTCTCAAATTTCAATGTAATTTTCCTTTTTTCTTTTTATGAAATCAAAAGTAAAACTACATGCTCTCTTTCCTTGATGTTCCTTTAATTTCTTAATAATTTATGTTTTTCTCTTCTTCATAAAAGGCATGTTTTTTAATCTCATAAAAAATTAACAAAATATAATATATATATATATATATATATATATATATATATATATATA